ACTGTGTCAGATAATATGGGGATATACTTAATGTTTATATTTACTCAATTCAGGAAGGACTTTGATGCAGAGAGGGAAAAAGAATTAGAAGATTTTAAAAAATGTGGTCCACCTTTGGGTTCAAATCACCAGAATAACTCAAATGAAGAGGAAGAAAGGTAAAAGTTGTCAATCTTTTTATTGCCCCAAAGGAAACTGTATACATACCGACTTGCAGTTTTTATTCATTTTCATAACAGCTACCCTAAAAGCTTATTATTTCCTTCAAACTAAATACTAAGATTCTATTTAATAATTAAATATTTGTGATAATCAAACATATAAAGCTTAATATAGAAATTAAAATTAAATAAAATGTAAATTAACGAACACAAAAGAAAGAAAATATGAATGAATTTAATAGATAATTGGAGACACAATAGAAGTTAGAGCACTGCAGGGAGGCTCTAACACAAACTTCACTTCTGACATCTCCAATTCAAATATACATGCTAAAATGTACTTTATAACTAATTTGTTGCTGATATTTGGTAAATCCTCTGCAGGATGGAAAATCATCGCAACTTGAGCATGTATTTATTCGAGGCAGCAAAGTCAGGTATGGATCGTACATTACTCAGCAACTTCATCATTTTATGTTCCAAATTATGTTTCAGAATATAGTCCTTAGAATATTAGTGTCATAATTTTGAATTGTACTGTTGTATACAATTTGGCTGCATATTGATTGGTATAATAATATGAATCTCATATGCCTTTGAGTGCTTGGTTGGTTTAGATTTAATCATTCGCGAGGTCCTTGTTTGGGGTGAGAATCTCAAATTGGTCATTTTCTTTTTTGACGTCTCAATTAAGTCATTATTTTGTGAAAATTACAACAATTACACCCCTGACGTTAAATTGGGTCTAACTCGTTATTGTTAAGTTGACATGGCATGGGGATGTTGACTTTAAATGATGTTATACACCCAATCAACCATTGGGAGGCAGCCACCTCATCAAATCTTGCTACGTCAGCTTCATCTCTCTTTCTCTTTCTCCTTCCTTGTGCTGCCATCAATATCCCTCAACCAACAACCACCTCTTGTCGCCACGAGCTCCACCATGTGCTACCACAATCCTTCAACAACCTTAATCGCGAGCTTCCCAAATCCTGCATCTCTAGAAACCTGCAAATCAGAAACCCAATTAACCCCAATTTTTAGAAACTCTCAAATCAACCATGGCAGCACCACAATTTCATTACAAACTCAGGCGACCGTGACACAATTAGTTCGTATTAGTAACCATTCTCTCCGTCGCAGCAACACCACAACCATGAAAAACAACCACCATGAGCATCCATTTGCATAGAGAGAAACCTAGAAACTGAAGAAAAACCCAATAGCAAAAAGAACTCACCATCTTTTTCACAACCTGCGAAACCCATTAACGCACCATTGTGAGAACCCTTCCTCGCGCATCCACCAAATTGGACCACCGTAACTCACCCGGATCGCAACCAATCTTCTCCTTCCAGAGCGAATCCACCAAACCCAATCGCAGGTTCGTCTCCCCTCGAGCAACCACCACTGTGAAGCCAACCTCCATTCTCGTTCCCAATTCGCACTGCACAGAAAACCCATAAACCACAAAATCACACTCAAGCAATCCATGAACCCTTCCTCGCGAACACCATAAAACCCATTTATTATCGCTCCACCACGAGTTCCATAGCTAGAATTCGCGACACCCTAACCTGCAATAACAGAACCAAACAAGAAACCCAAAATCGTGACTTTGTGCTGCCATCAACGAACAACACCCTTCTTCGCGGTGCAATCAATCCCACTGCACAAACCCTAATCTGTGCAACGTCAGCATGCCACGTCATTTAAAAAATTAACAAAATTAACATAAGCATGCCATGTTAAAGTGAGTATAACGTTGTTAGACCCAATTTAACGGCAGGAGTGTAATTGTTACAATTTTCACAAAATAAGGACTCAATTGAGACGTGAAAAAAGAAAATGACTAATTTGAGATTCTCAATTCAAAGAAGGACCTCGCAAATGATTAAACCTTTGGTTTTATGTCTTCATTTCTTAATTTGTCACTTGATGCATTCAGTCATTCTATTTGATTACTTTATTATTTTATCTTCATTCTTTTAAAATGCTTCACAAATTATTAAATTAGACACTATCATCTGTTATATTAGAATTGGGAAAATTGATGTTTTGACCCGATTTACAAAAATAGAAAATTAAAATAATAGTTCTAAATTTTAAAATACTAAATAAAATACTTGCTTTGTGAACATTAAGTCACTTAAATAAAATTAATTTTAATTTTTAAATGAAGGGTTTTATATATACATTTTAACGCAAGTATATGCTTTAATAAAATAATATTATTTTAAAATTTTTTAAATTATTATTATAATTGTTAAGAACAGGTTCAGTCTAAGTCTATTTGGACTTGTGATTAGTGTGTTTTAGTTTAGTATACTACTCTTCCGGTTTGACTAGACTCAACTCATTTTATAGGTTGGTCCATTGTACAGACTTTCTATGTGAAAGCTATTTTTTATAATATTTGAATCTAACAATTTGATACACATTATTATAACAAATCAAAAATTTGTTTGGCAATTCGCAATCCGATAATTGTAGATTGCATTTTCTGTTAGTGCTTTGATGTGATATAGAATGTCTCAGGTTTATGGTCATACCAGACATGCTGAAGAATGCTCTCTATGTTTAAGCGTTTGGATGCAAGAATTAAGGTACCCTATTATCATCAATCGATTAAGTAATCCATATTTGTTTTATGTGTTCTGTATTTTATACTTTCTTAATCTTTTGAAGGGAAAGAGTGCATCACTTGGAGTTGGTAGGGGCAGAGCAGTTGCGATTCGAGCAAAGGTATTAACCCAATTTTCGCTTTTTCAAACTTAGTTTATTAATATAGAGCCAGCCTAAAAAGATTGCTTGTTCATTCCTACTACTAATACCTAGGATTCCTACGGCCAAAGTAACATTTTGCGTAACTATAATTCTCGCTTATGTAGGCGCAAGCTGTTGGCCGTGGAGCTGCACCTAGGAGGGGTGTACCACCAGTGCGGAGATGATCACCATTCGTATCATCCCTCTTTTGCCTGTCTGTTGAATGTGATAATTTGGTCTGTTGTAGTCTTTTGTAAACTGATGAGAGAAAGAAATTCTAATAGAAATTGCTTATACAGGCTTCATAGATTACTCTTTTTAAAGAAGGTACTGAATGCCAAATTTTTTCTCACAGCTTCTAATAATTTGATCTGGTATTGTGTATTTCGATGGTTGGATTTTGTTAATGGGGTTGCTTGGCAACTTTCAAAACTAGTTTATAACATCACAACATAGAATCAGTAACATAGGGAGGATAGTATGGTAGCTCTGGAAACTGGTTTAGACCGTACTATGATATGCTAGTCAATATGAATTTATCTTAATGTAGCCAATTTGATTTCCTTTTAGAATCAGATTTGAAACTTTATTTTCAAGACTTTTGGGGTGAAATCCTTGTGTTCCACTAAACAACATGAACAGCACTTTAGATGACAATATTAAAGTCTCCATGTGCTGAAGGAAATGGCATCGTCTCAGTGCAGTCACAATTACTTTATCATTTTTCAGCTGTTGTTGGTTTATCCTCACGTTGCAGGCTGAAAAGATAACGCTGAAGGTTGTTGACAGCCCCCATAAAATATCTTGCATACCAAACAAAAATAACTCACGATGGAAGTCCTATTATTATTTATATTAGCAGCCATTTCGGATAATACCACGCAATTCCATTTGTTCTAAACCTGGCCATTTCCTAATATTATCTGAAACAGTTAATGCATACCCTAATGGCAATGGTAAGTTATTACTAGCCAATTTGATGCCCTCTTCATATATTCTTTAAGAAAAATCCAAATTTTGTATGGTTTTGGTAAGTTAATGAAAACTGAAAGAAAGACCAATACGTCGCAAGATTTTTCTTTATTATGCCTTGGTCTCATCAGCTTATTATTGAGCCGCAGTACAGCATGGATAACAGGACCTTGCTCCTACATTTTTCACATGCCTCAGACAAACCCTAACATATAACCTGTTAATCTCCTTCGTCCGTTATCATATTTTTAAATTCATCTCAATACATTTAGGCATTGGTCAGAATTAGTATCACTAACAGCAAAATTAGTGCACAGTACACTAGTTATGTTTCACGTACTATTTTCTGAATACGGCACAATATATACTGAAGAGAAGTTAAACTGGAATTTCGACAAAATCAGAATAAATTATGTGTCCATTTTTTTTTAAATTATGATTTCCTTGAAAAAATGTCACAACTTAAGATTAGAATTTCAACTTTAAATAAAAAATAAATACAATTTGCATAGCCACTCGAAGCGGGAATTGAAACATATGGGAAAATAGTGATTATTTTTAAAAAAGGTTTATTAATAAAAAATTTAAAGTAAAAAGAAGAAAAAAAATGTAACCAATGAACGAAATTTGAAGTCTGGACAATACCATGAAACGATCAAGTCGTGTGAAGTATTTGAGCTCATACAAGCACAACACCAGACAATGCAAAATGTACGAAATATATATATATATATATATATATATATATATATATATATATATTATGTTAAACAATATTATTGTTCTAAAATAGGTTAAGTACAACTCGAAAAATGTATAAATTAACAGTTAAAAACATAAAAATAATAATGTGAATTATAAGCTAATTATTTAAATTACAAATTACCATGATTCAACCTATGGAGTACTAACAATTCTAAAGAATAATAATCTTATAATAACATATTGGATACCATTTAAAGAAAAAAAAATGTAATATTCCTTTCCAAACCAATTGTCATAATTGAAAATTATCAAACTTTTATCTCACATAATCTGTTAATTTATATTTATCGTTCCTTTTTTGGAAATAAGGACCAAAGCCTACGTCCATAAATTCTGAGTCCAAAATTGCAATAATGATTAAAATTTGGTACACTTTTGTTAATATCTATTTTTTTCAAAGGTGATGATGCTGTTGCGGGTAAGGTAGCTCAGATTGTAGGGGTTCCATTCCATCTATGTCATGGAGACCCTTTCAAGGTTTACATTACCCCCCACTTGTTCCAGCCTTCAGTTCCCAAAAATCTCTGCATTATCTCGTTTCCCAAATGCTATTTCCACAACCACTCCACTGGTTTCAGTGCTAAGAGTAAGAGCTGGTCCTCCTTCAGGTTAGCCACTCTGTTTCTTGGTTCCCGATTGGACATGTTTAATCACTTCTTTTTATGCTTTGCTGAGAAAGTTAGCATTTTGAGAGAATAAGGGGTTTGGGGAAAGGGTTATAGGCAAATCAGACTTGCTGTTTCAAACTCAGAATGGAAACTGTGCACATGCACAATTCTCATAGTTACGAGTACTTATATACGCATATAATTTGTCTGAACTCCGAAGAGTGTTTCCCTCTGCTGGAGAAACACCATCTCCAGTTTGATTGGGAGATACTTTGTACTACAGTTTGATAACTTAGATTCTGGATTGGAAAGATTCGTCGAAGACGCTCTAATCTTTGCCATTCGGAACACTTGGTTTTTAAAAATAATAATTCTGACTTGCTAGCTCCTCATCGTTGTTTCAACTGAATATTTTGTCTGAGAAAACTTTTGAAAATATAATACGGTGCTTGGATCATTTAAAAAAACATTTTTTTTTTGTTACATTGCATGATAGCTAGGTTTAAGATTGACTGAAAACGTTATCTCGTGTAAGTAAATGTATCTTTTTGGAGTTTGGATAGCAAGAGAATGAGGTTGGACCGTTAGAAAGAAGAGGAATTTCAAGTGTAGTTTTCTTGAACGAATAGTTTTTTGATACATTCAAATCGAGGGTGCATCAAAACAAGTAAACGACTGTTGTCAAACAATTGTTTCAGTTATCTGTAGGGGAATTTAATGATTTCCTTTCTTATGCTTATTATTGTTATTCATTTTGACTATTATTCTGTTAAAATATGTGTTATAGTGTAGACTTGCAAATTTTCTCCCCAGCTCTTGATTGAAAAGCTAGTGTGGTTGGACATTCTTATCACAATTTTCTTTATAACTCAAGGGCCTTCTTTCCATTAATGTAATGTTAGATATAATAACCATTCATGTTGTTTAAAACCTAATAGCCTAAGCTTTTTGGAGGACTGGTCATTGATATGGTATTAGAGTTCCTTTGATGCAGTACGCAAGACTTCAATCCTATCTGTCCGTTGGATTTCAGTACATGGTAGCTGAGCATAAGTATTGACACAATGTCCTAGCCTCAAGCCAAAAATAGAGCCTTTACATCAAAGGGTGTAAATAAAAATTAAATTTGGAGACACGATAGCTAAGTATAAGCATTGACTACTCCGGAAGGCCTAAAAGGGCTCTTGTCTGAGGGAACATGTGAGAAAAAACTTGCTGATCAGTTGTAGCTTAACTATTCATTGGGAGATATCTCATCCTTGTAGCTTCTATATCTATTAAAGTACATGTTTATTTCTATCCTTTTGGCTCCAACATAAGTAATAATTAATTGTTGTCAATTTATCTTTTTTTCCTGTCACTTGTAGACCTTGTTTATGTTGAAATCTAATTGGTTGAAACTTATATTTTTAGTGAGTAGTGCCGATGAGGATGTCCTGCAAATATTTTTTAAGGAGAGAGAATTAAATGGTGATTTTATATCAAGAACTTCTGATTTATTATGGAGAAGAAATTTCAGAAACTCTGGTGATTATGACATTGACACGCTGACAAATAATACTTCTCAAGAAACAGAGCAGGTGCAGTAGACTCTTTGTTTCCAATTTAATACATTTGATCAATTGTGCCAATTTTGGTTGTTTCTTGCCTTGTTCTGATTCATTGCAAGTTTTGTATGTTGATTCATTGGTCATTTAATTCAATTTTATGTGCTTTTTCTAATATTTGTAGATCACGGGAACTGACAATGATGGCGGTTTTTTGAAACTTACAAAAACCCAAGAGTGGTTAACAGGCGACAATTCTCCTCCAATAAACAAGAAGGTGACTGCTAAGGTATGCTTTAGACTAGTTTTTCATTTACATCCCATTGACAGGAAGTGGGAAATTTGTATATGAAATATGAAATTGATATGCTGCGACTCATTTTATTGTCTCAAAAATTTTCACATTCACCTTCTCTCGGGTAAATATATAATAACTTGGTCGTCATCCAATAATGTTGGATGCTTCACTTAATATACCAACAGATGTTGCAGGACAGCAGCGCAAGGCGCAAGAAACTGAACATGCTCAAGTATGAATCTGTACGATACCTCTCTTGACCTTGTTATTGTTCTTTGTTAGCTCAAGTTAGTGACATCAGTGTTTTCTTACCTCAAGGCTGTAGGTTTTGATCAATTAGAAGTTCTGATATTGTTTAAGCTTCTTATTATTTCAATTTTATTCTTAATTGTAGCTCAAGAGGGAATTACTACTTCTATCTGTGGGTATTGGATTGGCATGTAGTGGATATTGCTTGGTAATTTTTTCAGTACAGGTAAACTTTAATTTGCATGTTGTCTCAAAAAAGTCTCATCAATTTTCTATTGTAATTAGGAACCAGATCATTTTTGTGCTTCTTACCACTCAATTTTGTTCTCTTTCTTCATGACCAGTCTAATTTTAGATGGTTGTCAGTGTCTTACCATAATGGTTTAACTTCAAACACTACCCCAAGGTTTAAGTTTCTTTTTATTTCCTTCACTGATGTGTGCCTCTCTTATATTTTTAGGCTGCTATAAGTTACGGGATCGGAGTACTTTTCAGGTTTGTTATTGCCTTTTATCATATTGGTTATGCCTTATTGAAGTAATTGTTAATGCTCTAAGATACTCTACTAAGACCATTAGAGCATCTCCAATGCAGGGGTTATAGTCAAGGTCTTAAGTTTAATATTTGAGTCTTATAAGAAGCCTTCATCGTAGCATGTTGATAGAGAGTCTTAAATTTAAGACCCTGGATCATTATAATAAAAAATATATTTTTCATCTTTTGAAGGTTGTACTTGCATTAAAGTGTAAGCAAAAAATTATAAATGTGAGTATTATAAAACTCTTTCATTGGAGCAAAACTTACAAAATATCTTTAAAATGTTGCGGCATGGTAGGATCCACATAAAGTAAAATAAGAGCTCATGGTATGACTCTTGCATTGGAGATAACCTTAGAGCCTCGGTTGATATTTATTAATCACTGTTTCTCCTTGTGGGTGAAGGAAAAAAAAAGATGTAACTGTCCTTATCATTCCTTATTAGTATACTTAACTGATATATCATTTCAATGCAGTTGCTTGTACCTTCAACTCTTGTATCAACATGCAGACAACATATCCAATGAAAATGTTCCTCAAATATTCAAGAAAAAGAAATCAAAGAAGTACACATGAAAACTTGTGCTTTGAGTTTGATGTAATTGTTCCAGTTAACATTCTCTGTAGTTGACATTTTCTATTCCCTTGTTTTGGTCAAAAAAATATTTCTTAACCAGAATTGGTATAAGAAGTGAGGACCTTGAAGATTTCTTGGAGAGGTCAATCAAGGGTAGCAGTATATCACTTTCATCTCCCAGGCTTGTTATTCCAGCAACAATATATGGACTTTGGGTCCTGTTTCATCAATATTTTCACAATGACTTTTTTGATTTCCAGGTAATCCTTGGCAGCATGTATATCAAAAAATGTTTCTTCAGCCACTAAGCATTTTCTATTTGAATAAATTTCACCATAAACACTTATAAAAGAAGAAAAGAAGAAAGAAAAATGAATTGAACTTCTCATATAAGAGTTATACACTTAACTTTTGTAAAAATGATCTCATTTAATTTTTCTAAAAGCTAAAGTACATAAATTGATATAAGCTTGTAAGAGAAGATCAATTCATTTTATCTTTTCTTTCCCCTCCATTTATATTTGTAGAGTAGATTATCCAATCATAGTATTACTATTCATATTTCATCAAATTCATTGGTCATTTATTTATACTTGCTCTTGTTCACCCTAGCTTGTGCCAGCCATGTTCGGAATGTTTGTCTACAAGGCTGGTGTTCTGGTGCAAGTTTATAGAGACAATGAAGGCTTGCGGTTTGTGTTTCCAGAAAATGAAGATGGATCAAGCGATTGAAGTATTTATTTTCGTATGCTCAGCACTCAGCAGAGTACAGGACTCAGTACTCACTTTTACTTGGAACATTGGAAATGCTTAGCTGCACCCTTAACTGAGCACTACTGATCACCAGGTTACAACCCTTCACTACATTCATCTTGAATTTTAGAACGATGATGCTATTTCATTACAGTAAATAGTAAAGAGTGTATCAATATCTTGTTCTTGAAGCTAACATTTGTTGACTGTTGAAAGTTATAAGCTAAAATATTACATGCACTTTCATTCATCCTATGATATTGTCTTGTCACACTAAATAGTCTAAGTGTGGAAGGATCATCCTTTATCATTGATGTTGGATATAGTAATAAACATCTTACATTTACTACTTTTCACATCAAGTTTCGATTATTGATAACAACTAACTCATTAGAGTTAGTAATCAATGCAAATATGTAACTCAACCATTCTCGCGTATAAATATTATAACTCTTCTCTTATACAAGTATCCTTTCCCCCTTTTGTATTGTTTACTTTCCAAAATTATATTTCTTATCTGGAGTCAATGTATGGGTTAAGATATAAAAATACAAATCTACTCATTATTTTGTCTAATCCAAATGTTTGTTGTTTTGCCAAGTTTATTTTTCACGTAAATCACAAATGTTAATGTCTATTTTGAAATTAATTTATATATCCGTTTGTTTTATTTTTAATTTATGGCACTTATATTTATAACCATAAAAGAAGCACCATATTTTATTTTTAATTTTACATATTATATTGTATTTTAAATCATAGATGACAATATATTTTTCTAGTTTTAGTTTAATTTGATTGATTTATTATGGCTTAAGTGCTTACTTCGTCCTCATGTTAAGAGGCGAATTTCTGTTTAGTATCCGATTTTAAAAATGAAGACATTGGGTTCCTATGTTATGAAAAATGTATGAATAAGGTCTTGTCCGTTAAGTTGACAGCAACGACGTTAAGTCCATGTTGATGTGGCCGTACTTTTTCTCTTCTCTTTTGCTGTCCAACTTTTTCTATCTCTTCAGCTTTTTCTTTGATGATTTGTTGAACTTGTTCTTTCTTTGTGAATCTTATTTATATATTTTTCATAACATAGGGACCTAGTGTCTTCATTTTTAAAACCGGTTACTAAACAGAAATTCACCTCTTAACATGAGAACAAAGTAAGCATTTAAGTCATTTATTATCTATTACACGAAGTTTATAATTTTAATTTTTGTATATCTTAAAGACGTAAGCAGCCCACGAACTATCTTGTGGTGTTAATGACTTGTCAAATGATGGTTTACCGTAATTTCACCCTTAATTCTGGTCAAACCATCTAAAATATGTTACTCAATTATCCAAGACACGTTTATATTTATCTAATTTTTTATTTTTTATTTTTAAATTCTCTTTGACCTAGGTAGGAAGTTAACCCTTGCAAATGCTATTAGCGAAATAAAACCCTTCTCAAAGCATCGATTTCGTTGTTTAAACTTTTTATGCTAACTTTATCAAAGTTTTTGTATCATGGTGTAAAGTATTATTTGAATCATACCAAATCAACTTAAAAAAAATAAAAGAAAACCTCAATAAAGAAGCTTACTATATAATTTCAAACAAGATATCAGATAAAGAGTATTTCTCTTAGCATCTCTGTACCTTCTTCTTTTTGTATCTCAATAAGAATGAAAAAAGTTCAAATTATTTATTGGTGGAATATATTCTTAAAAGTATACCATTTAGATATGATAAAACATCCTAGAGTCAGAAGATATAAAACATAGGTATGGAGATGCAAAAAGATTAAACTTTGCAAGGTGCGTTGAAAATGATGTATCCAAGAGTAACATTAAGCTCAACCACGTGTCACTCTGTCACTCTTTCACCGTTTACTCTAAATATTCTTCTTCAAACCCCAGCAGCATCTCTTTTGCAGGCGAATTGGAAGTTTGATACAAACACGTGAGATGCATAAATGCTTCACCTCAATCCAGTTTTCACTTTAATGTTTCTGTCCATTCTACACGTGTAAGCTGTTAATTGATTTTAAATGGTGTTACCACACCCAATAGTTCCTTAAACCATAATAAAACATTTTCTTAAATATAGACGGTTTTTATCACTTTTAATAGTTTCTTACTATTTAGAAATTGAGTTCTTGTTTTCGATATGATAAAGTTCTTGTTTTCAATATTGAACTTTTATAAATTGTTAGATATATATTTTAAGAAGATAACTATATATACAATTTCTCAATTTAATAAGTATTAAATTATTAGTAATTAATTTCCCAATTTAATAAGTATTAAGTTATTAGTAATGAACTATGCTCTTCAGTCCTTTTTATAAATAACCAAGTTGATTGAAAAACATTTTAATTACGGTATTAATAAATATATAACTTAAATAAAATTTAATTAAAAGTCACCTTTTATACTAAAAATTAAGATGATAAAGTGAGTTAGATTTGGCAAATTTAAGGAATTCAATTATTATTTTCTGTTTTCCAACTTGTTTTGGTTCGTGAACATATTCCTTAAATTAAAATTTTAAAAAATTACATTATTTATTTTATTATATTACTCAACAACAAAAAATATATAATAATATTATAATTTAAATCATTATAAATATTTTTATTAATAATAACAAAACTAATTTCATATATAAAAATAACTTATAAATCAAATTTTAACTATTCATTATAAAAAAATAACTTAATATATAAACATAATAATTTTTTAATTTATTTTATTATAGACATCATTAATCAACTCAAAATTTAAAATTACTTTCATAATCAAGTGAGCTTTTTAAAACATATATTAAAATAAAATATAAAACTATAGGAAAAGTTAACAAGTTTTATCAACAACTAATTCCTCCTCGTTATCGAAGATACATGGACACAATATTTATATCAGATACGATATATATATATATATATATATATATATATATATATATCAAAATTATCAACATAAAATATTATAAATTACTTCTATCATACAAATATTATTATTTTATAGATTAAATGTTTTATTTATAAATATTGATTAAATATTTTAAAATGTCATACACGGGATATGTGTTAAACACAAATACACAACTTAAATTAAAATATAGGTCATCGCCATTTTTACATGTCAAAAGAAACCACATTGTTACCTACTACTATAAATCAAAACTTAAAAAAGATTTAATTGTAATCTTACTTTTATTTAAATTTTCGCATAGTTTAATTCTACTTTTATAATTTTAACCTCCATATTTTAACAAATATAATGTTTATCTAATTTTTAAATTTGAATATACCTATTTGTTTTTATTTTATCTAATTAAATTATTTTTTATATCCTAAATCAACATGGTTACTTTAGAGATTGATTGAAAAACTAAATAAAATATACATCAACTGAAAATTAGAAATACAAATCATATTTAAATTTTTTAAAAATTAAAGAAAAAAATTACCAACAGAATTTAAAAATCAAGTGAAAAATATGAGTGTTGTTGTTTACCTGAAAGAAAAAGAAGAATTAAAATGTTAAAATGAAAAAAAGAAAAAAGAAAAAGAAAACCCACTAATGAGTACTACTACTACTACTACAGTACAGTCTTCTAATGATTTCAGTGTAAGTGACCTGGTTTCTCATCTTCAATCTCTTGAATCAGCGTCGCTTTCTCTGGCATCATTTTGTATTGTAGCTACCTTATGCTCGGATGAAAAATAAATAATTAATAATATTATATTGATCGATACAAACAGATATATTTAAGCGTAGATCGGTATCGTCTTCTTTTATCCACTTGTCGATCGCGAATTTGGAAACCCTAATTCGCAGATCTGATCTTACCTTGCTCCATGGTTATGGCGCCTCGGAAACATCGCGAGCGTGAAATGCTGTTCGACTCCGTCATCGCGCTCGTTTTCATCCTCGTCGCCTGCGTCGACCTCTGCGACGGCGCCACTGTTGTTGATGTCTACCGCCTCATCCAGTACGACATGTCCGGCGTTCCTTTCGGATCTCGACTCGCCAGCCTCAACCATCACGCCGCCTCGCTCCACTTCTCTCCACACACTGATCTCTCTCGCACCGTCCTCCTCATACCACTTCGCGAACTTAACATGTCTTTTGTTAAAGGTTCTTCTTCTTTCTGCTTTTTTTTTTTCTTTCCTTTTCTCAAATTTTACGTTTTGGTTTGATTACTATTTATTCTGGTTAATTCTGCTGAGACTTATTTGTTGCGCGTGACGTAGTAGTTGCAGAAGTTAGTAACGGCGTTTGAGAAGTGGCAGAAGTGTTACTTCAGTGTCACTCTAGATTGGTTAAGATGTTACGCATGATAGTCTGAAAGGAAGTACTTTACATGCATACCTGTAAAATTGTCCTAGGGTGCGTTTGGGTAAACGAATTAATTAAGAACTTACTAAATGAGTGTTTTTAGTGTGCAATCATTTATGTATGCTATTTTCATAAACTATCCTGAAAAGTTGTGGAAAGGAGCTGAAAATCAGCTCACAAACATATCATAAACTATTTTAGTGAGCTGTATTATAACATTTACACGAGTAACTCTGTGTTGAGATGAGCCCTAACTAGCTGTATAAACTCTTCGAAATGCATCCGTAGTAGCTTATATGTCGTGGTTTAGGTATGGAGAAGCTCTGATTCACTAGTTAAGCAGGACAAGTGATAAGTTTAATGTTTTTATAAAATGGAGTAGTTATTGCTGTGTTTGTCCTGATGTTATTCATTTTATTAATAATTTGAACTGTTTTATTTTTTCTAGTGAATGCTGAACATTTCTTGTTCCTGTCATTCGTATTGATATCTTTATTTGAAGGATTTTATTTTGTCTCATTTGTTATTTAACAATATCAAAATCTTGTGACTGCAATATGGCAGAATATATTGCTGAAAGCAAGCCTCTTGGGGGTTTAATATTTTTGCTTCCCCGGCTGTTCAGTTTTGAAAACAAGGATGGTAAGGGGAGTAACAATCGAGATGGGAGTACAGAACCGCTGAGGAATGTATTGGCGGAACTTGAACAAATACTCATACACGCGAACTTACCTGTAAGTATATTTCCTTTTTGTTGACTGTTTTCATTTTTTTTTCGTTTGAATATCCTATAAAATAAAACATTTGCCAACTTGAGAGGAGGAAGTGACGATCAATGAATTTGTTCTTGAATTATGAATTATGAATTCCTTTTGAAGTAGTTGTGGTGATTTTATTCAGCTACTACTATGTTCTCAGGTTTTATTATATCTTTATAGTGGTTCATGCAGTGATTGACCAACTGAGCTGTGTTCAACTCCAATCACTTTTAAACAAATTTATTGCTTTCTATCATTCAGTCTAGGGTTTAGTGTTTGTTTGGTAAAAAGGGTAATTGCCGTTGTAAGAGTTCCACCAATGTGATGACGATTAAAGACTTTGGATAGCCTCATAATGTGCATGTTAATCTTGTTTGGGTTTCAAATGTTATTGCATGCATGCAGTGGTGGTCCATAGCACTGTACATTCACTTGTAGCAGATGATTTGTTTATGGTGTTTAATCTTTATACACCGAGTACAAATATTTTTACAGTGTCAATCAATTAGAAATTGCGAAAAGATAAATTTTAAAGAAATTATTACAAAATTCAACAATTTTAACATAACAAATTATGATTGAATGACAGTGTAAAAGACCTTACACTTTCTGTGTTTTAATTAAATTCTTATTTTTTTATCTTTGGGTTGTGAACTTGTGGTAAATGATCATAAACTAACTTACAATTTATTTTGCTATGACTATTCTTCTCTAGTTGTCTTTGCATGCATATTAGGTCCTTGACTGGTTCATCAGTGCTGAGATATTTTCGAAACTGGAAAATTTTCTTAACACTTATTTTCTGCCTAGCTTCTGCTCGAGCATAATTTTTCAGTTTATATCATGGAACCATTTGTGTAGCATGTCTCACAATCATTTCACAGCATAAGTAACGAACTACTGAAGGTGGTTTCTCAATTATCTAAGAAGACTTGTAACACCGTGCTGATTATTATTATTAAAAGTAAATTACAATGACACACCTTCAGATATTTTCTCAAAGTACACTTGCTCCTTCTTCCTTTTTTACCATTCCGATGGCCTCCCTTATCAGGGGTTATGCAGAATGTTTTTAAACTTTAATGGGATGTACATGTAAGGGAAAAGATTTACAAATATTTGTCTTTGGCTTGTGTTACATGACATGTTTCTTTTTTTGTAATGTGAGGAAGTACGTGTCCTTCAATTATTTTTTGTCCCCACCCACCCCCGTTTATTACATAATCATGTACACCTCTATCATTTTACTTGTTATTTTGTGGGAGATGTAACTTTTATGGTGTTGCATCTTGTTGCAGTATCCTGTTTATTTTGCATTTGAGGATGACAATATTGATGCTGTGTTAGCTGATATCAAGAAGAATGATGTCACTGGTCAACCTGCTACTGCAACAACTGGCGGGTGAATACAAATCTTAAATGAAGCTTTCATTGCTTTAAGGCTTGACTGATTGGACCGCATATGGGATTACCTTTTATATTTCCAACTCCTGGGCATTACATTTTTGTGTTGTTGGATGCCTTCTGTTCTATTTGTTTGAATTTGAATTGTCTTATTCATTTCCTAATTGCTGCTGTTCTTATATTATTAAATTCTCTTTCCTGGACTTCCTTACAGTAGTTACTTAATTTGCATGTTTGTTGAGTTATTGTATTACCATACCAAGTTTATTTTTCTCTTGGAAGTAACATTTTGAATGATTTCTTTCCATTTTTTTGGGATGTTTCATATACAAATTTGTTGTTTCAGCCGCAGAACCAAGGAAAGTTGTTTCTCCTCCTATTACAAATATTCAGGTGTTTGTTCAACCTTAATTTTAGATAAATGCAATGTGATTGAAAAGCCAAATCAAACTTATGTTTCTTGAATGCATACCATAAATTTATTTCCTTCTTTTTTTCTAATTTTTTTTGTTTAAATTCTACAACAACTGGTTCAATGTAAGTCTTGGTTAACAAAAACACCAGATTGCTGCAATAATCATTCTAGGAAGCCTTGAGTAAAGATCTAGATAATTTGGAAGAACCCTGGGTTCGAGCATGAACTAATAACCAGAGAAGCATACCGTGAAAGATTATTTTTTAAAACCTCACTTAGCAAGTTTTGGACTAAGTTACAAGGAATTGTTTCACTTGGAATATTTAACAGGCGATCATGTCACTTGTTACACAGATCTTGTCTCTTTCAGGTGTCTTGTTGGGGTGAATCAATATAGGAAATAATCTGCCAACCGTGAAAGATTATTTTTTAAAACCTCACTTAGCAAGTTTTGGACTAAGTTACAAGGAATTGTTTCACTTGGAATATTTAACAGGCGATCATGTCACTTGTTACACAGATCTTGTCTCTTTCAGGTGTCTTGTTGGGGTGAATCAATATAGGAAATAATCTGCCAATTTTTGTGTTTTAGTGTTTTCCTTAGGATTCTCACACATAATTAGTGCAAATATACTGGATAATCTACAGGTATAAACAGCTTGGAGTTCTTCTGTGATCAGTAACAGTTTAGCTGCATGTATCAACAGAACTGATTAATTCTTAATTGGATAATCTGCTTGTACTATTCTTTAAATAGAACTCGTGTGAATGTATCTTTTATATGGTTGCAGGGATGGTTGGCAGGACTGAAGACAGATGATGATGCTCATCAATTACCCACCATAGCGATAGTGGCATCATATGACACCTTTGGGGCTGCTCCTGTATGTTGTTTATGAAGTTTACCTTTAAAACCAAACTGTTCAAAATAATATGATTATCATGTTAAAATATCTGAAATTGCAGGCATTATCGGTGGGAAGTGATAGTAATGGAAGTGGCATTGTGGCTCTTCTTGAAGTAGCTAGGCTGTTTTCTCTCTTATATTCTAATCCAAAGACAAGAGGGCAATACAATCTGCTGTTTGGGCTAACATCTGGTGGGCCTTACAACTACAATGGAACTCGTAAAGTAATATATATCATATTTGGAAGTTCATTTTTTTGCAGACAATTCTTTAACACGTAATCAACCTTCCCTTTTGTTCTGGATTTTTTTTTACATAATTCTGCATTTTCAGTGGCTTCGAAGCTTTGATCAACGGCTGCGTGAGAGCATTGACTATGCTATTTGCTTAGATAGTATTGGTTCATGGGAAAATGAATTGTGGATTCATGTGTCTAAGCCTCCAGAAAATGCTTTCATTAAGAAAATTGTGGAAGTAAGTGAATGGTCCAAGTGGTGCAGGCTTTACTATAATGGATTACTTGCAGTTTTATCTTTATGATTTCTAATGGAAAATTTTGTGTAGGATTTTTCAAGTGTTGCAGAAGAATTAGGTTTTAAAGTCAATTTGAAGCATAAGAAAATAAACATTTCCAATCCTCGAGTAAGTGATAAATTCTTGGTGTTCTGTTTCACTTTCCAAGATCTTTAGTAATTTATACTTAGCTTTTGCTCAATATCAATTTGGTTGTATTTTCACACAATTGCCATCATCACATTATTTTATTACAGTAGTACCATGTACAATCACCTTATATGTTGTTTACATGTTTATAAAAAAAGGTCTGGAAACTGTGATGTATTTGCTCCTCTAATTTCATTTTAGTCTGATGTAAGCCCTTATGTTTTATTACTTAAGCTTCCTAATAGATTACACTTTATACTCCTTCTCATATCAGCTCGTGCTTCATGTCTTAGTGAAAGATTTCCTGATAGCAAGCACTTGCTTCCTCCATTTTGTCTAAATGCTACTTCTAATATCAGTTATTAAAGATGGTCATCTGCTGTAGGTAGCTTGGGAGCATGAACAGTTTTCAAGGCTGAGAGTTACTGCTGCCACTCTATCCGAACTCTCTACAGCACCTGAATTGCTAGAAAAGGCTGGTGGTTTGGTTGACAGCAGGTTCATATCTGGACCTAAATGCCATAATTTTATTACTTTTTTACCTTTTTGCTGACTGAGCTTCTGCAGGCATTTTGTTAATGAAGCAACTATTGTCAGGAGTGTGAAATTAATTGCTGAAAGTCTTGCGGTAAGATTTGTTTACCTCAAAAAACTAGAAGTCATTGTTCATTCCCTCACTGAAAAAACAAAAGATTAGGAATGTAGCCTCTCAATGTCCTTATAATTAATTCTCCTTCCAATCATTTGGCATAATAAGAATCATGAGGGAGTGTTTTGTTTGTTTGTTTGTCCTGGGCACTAGTTCTAGTATTATTCACTATATTTGTTGCAGTGAGTGTGTATTTATATTAATTTCAAAATTAATCTTTTGTATGATTTTGTGTACAATGTTTAATGTGAATTTGTTTGGTAGATATTTTTTTATATGGACTTGGTCATTTAGATCTTTTGAGGTTTCTATTGTGGCCATTTGAATTCCTAAATGGTGGCATTACTTTGCTCCATTATATGCTTAAGAAAAAGGCTACCATGCCATAATTTTACTTGGTTATTTACCCTTGGATGAACCAGCGGCCCTTCAACTTTGTCTATTCCAAAAAAGACCCTTGAATTGAGCTAATTAATACCTGTTTAGCACTGTGCATGTCGATGAAACTGTTCTATTAATGACGTGCTGTTTATGATATATATATATATATATATATATATATTAGCATTGCATTAAAAGTTGCTGATGAGGTTTTGCTTAGTTGATTCCTTATATTTGCAAAGTTTACACTCTTTAGTGATTCATTCAAACTTACAAAATGATCACTCTTGCACAAAATTTGCTTCCTTTCTCCTTCATTCCTGGATTCGAATGTTCTGGCTTATTTTTCTATTTTTAACGTTGTTATCTGGATTGACATTGGTTTAATTATATAGGAATTGTGGCAATGCCAAAGTTGTAGATATGAGAGAAGCTGTGCAGTATCATAAAAAATATTTTTGAAATTTGAATTGCTCATGTCATTGACATTTTGAGTGTGCCTTACTGAAGATAATCATTTTTGTGCGAGCCTATTCTTTGGCTATTTTCTGTTCTATTTAATTTTTGCGTCTAAAACCTACTGTGAAATTATAGTTCAAAATAAGAACTCTAAACGAAAAGTAGAAGTTCTAGTTTTCATTTCTTTTTAGACTCGTGAGGCAACATTGAGAGAGTGGAGAGAGTAGTTATTTTTCCAAAGTTCTTTTTAGATATTTTTCATTTCTATATAGATCTTCAGAAAATATGTTTGTCTACATTTTCTTTCAAGAAAAAAAACCTTAAAAAAAAAGGGTCAAACACTACATTGGTTGACTATTGCAAACTGGCTTAATTAGCAGACTAGAGCAAGATTACTTAATAGATGTTCATTTTATGATTAGTTGTTTTCCGCTTAAAGAATTGGCCAGAAACAGAAATTGCTTTATAAATGTATCGGATTCCCAGTATTTCTTTTTAATGAGAAGCCAACTTTGTTCTTTTAAACAGTCTTCTGATCTACTTTTTGCAGAGGCATATTTATGGACACCAAGGAAAGAACATCCAGATATTTGCAGACAACACCAACTTGGCTGTTAATCCTTCTTATGTTCGATCATGGTTAGATGTTTTGTCCCAAACACCTCGAGTAGCTCCTTTTCTCTCCAAAGACGATCCTTTTGTCATGGCACTGAAAAAGGTATTGTTGCATGCTTTTTTGCTTTTTTTTTTACTTTGTGAACATGCCATTGTAACGCATCAATTTGTCACGGCTTTTACTGTTTTTTCAAGTTAAAGGATCACCCCAATACAACGGTTCTCGTTGTGGATCAGCTGAGAGAATCTCTGTAGCTTAAGAAGCACAGATGGGGAAAATTTGTATATCAGTTGATGCGAGACACCAATATGATATGATACAGATGTGGAAAATATATAAGTCTTGAAGACAACACGACTACAATAGAAAAAATTATAATGAAAAATGAAAAGTAATCACAAGAAATAATTGATGTTCTAAAAGTATGAGCTACATTGTAAACATAGTAGAAGTGCTTTTTGATTTATATAATTATTACGGTGTTTCAATTTCTATTGATATAAGATAAAATTGGAAGAAAACAACTGCACTTATTACAAGCATCTTTGCAGTGTCCAACATGAAGACAGTCAAAACAACACAGATTGTCTGCATTTTAGTTTCTGGCAATATTCAAATGTATGCAATTTTAATTTGGGTTGATAAGGGGATTTACATATGCTAATATTGTGTAATATTTGTGGAGAAAACGGCTTTAAATATACTTTCTTGTTTTGTACTAGAAAGTTGTAATGAAACTGCATTCGAGTTAGGTTGAAGGCTGCTCATTCCTCGATTCTCAATATCTGGAGTTTCACTTCTGTACTTACCAAGTGTTTTTATATGCGTATATAGGAATTAGAAGATCATACTGACGAGGTAAATCTGCATAAAGATGTGCTAGAGGGAGTGTTCACTTTCTATGATTCAACCTGGGCAAAGCTGAACATATATCAGGTATTTGAAGTTATTTTCTTTGAACCGTGTCTGTATATAAAGTTTAGCCATTTTAATCTACATAATGAATCATTGATGAAGTCTTGGTGATTAGACGATCTTCCGTCCTTCCCGAGTCCTGACCATGTTTATAATTCAGTTATCAATTTCTCGAGGGCTCATAATGTTTTTGGTTATTTGACCGACCTGTTTGCCCTTTTTTTTTAAAGGACATCTTTTTCCAGTTTAAAAGGAGTAAAATTTCACAATAAACAAAATCTGTATCATTTTTCCAAAATATGCATGTTTGATTCCTTTTCTTTGGAAAGTTTATTCAAAATTTCTTTGAAGAAGCTGTACAAGAATTTTAATGCTCCAAAATAAGTTAAATCCAAACTTAGATTTAAGTATTTACCTTTTGGCTTTGGAATTTCATGTTGCATTGAAAGAAATTGTTGTGGTTTTACAGGTTGCCAGTGTCACATTTGACTTGCTGTTGCTTCTAGTATTGGGATCGTATTTAATTGTACTCTTCAGTTTCTTGGTCATCACCACAAGGGTAATCTATTTATTTATTATCTAAAATCTTTTGCAAAATTTTAGGTATCCAGTTTGTATGCACTCAATCTAACCGATGCTGTCTGACAGGGTCTTGATGATCTAATCAGTCTATTTCGGCGGCCTCCATCTCGAAAAGTGAAAACTGCATAGTAAGTGTGGCTACCAGGATTTTGTCTACGTAGTTCTCAAGATTTAAAAAGTATCCTAGGATCCAAGTTTCTAATGAAAAGCTCTGTAGCGGATTTTTTTTCCTCATTTCCTGAAGTTGGTTGCTTTAGTGGTTAAAAACAGTAAGATTTTTATTTTTGGCTGTGCGAAGTTAACAACGCCAAAATTTTGATATTTATTTTTCGCCCGTTTTCATTTGGCGCATTTTTGTAGTGTAAAAATTGTTTACTAATTCATGCCTTGTTAACAAATGGTTACCCTGGTTATTATAGGCAAGGCTTATTCACTTAGTTTTAGCTCAATAAAGGATCCATTCGGTTAATTATAAAATATAACTTTACTTACTGCTTGCTAAATAAAATTATTCTGTTCGGAATGGTGTAACCTTTGTACCTTGTTAAATGTGCTCGCAAGTTTACCTTTTCTGAGTTAGGATTAATCTAATCTTTTACCAAAAACGAAGAAACTGGGGAAATTTATACAACTTTATGGAAGCCAGGGATTGAGGAGGATAATGGTGCATAAAATTCGATGACATACTCACCATGAACCGATTTCTAAAGGTATGGTCAGATAGATAAGAAATTTTGTTGTTGAAGTGAGGATATTGCATGGCACGTAAGAAGCTAAAGTGAATGGTCTTAAGCGTTTTATATGTTGAAAGCTAGAGTAGGTATCAAAATGCTAGGAATGAGGAAAGAATTACAGTGAACAACATGATTATATAAGAAAAAGAAAAGGCAAGATTAAGATGAACTACTTATAAGATGAAGAAGGAGAACATTATTTTTTAAACTTTTCAAAGATGTACAAGGATTGAAGAATACTCATGTTGGAGGAGGGTTAGAAATCTGATAGGATGAATGAAACCGTAAATTTTTTATTAAATCTTGGGCATTAGAGAGAATTGCCTTTTCTTTTAATCTGTAATAAGGTCACACTCGATAACACTTTATTGTAACTATTTAACCTTTTTACTTATCACACTATTATACAACTCATCACCACATACACAAAATAATAAAACAACCATACAAATACACAAAAATTTAAACAAGAAAACATTAGAGTGATAATTGTTTTATATGTACGGCTATTATCAATACCAAAATTTTCCTATAAATGTTTTAAATGTGCCTATATATATGAAAATTAAATTTTATTTTAAATAATTTTGAAAACCTTTTTCAAGAACAGCTTTATATTCATAGATACATGCATGTACATATGTATATTTAAATTTCTAGTAACTTAAATGAAATTATATATATAATGAAAACATCTAATAAAAAAATTCTATTTATTTTAAGAAAATAAAGGATTTGCTTTTTTCTTATAATATTTATAAAAAGAACAAGATATTAAAGTAGATAAAGATAAAATATGAGAACTACGTATAAGATGACATATTGATCTGCATTAGAGCCAGTAGTTAGAATTTATTAAACTAACTTATTATATGATAGGTATCTTGTAAAACTATCTCTTAAAATCTCTCATACAAATTAATAAAAAATAGATTTTTAATACTCATGTGAAATATAAAAACCTTATATTCCTTACCAATATAAATTAGTACAAAATCGATCTTAAATAAAACTCAATTTTACCACGAAAAAAGAAAAGAAAATGCATACAAATTAAAAGAAATGGTGAATAAACTGTCCAAAGATAAAAAAGGAATAATTATAAAAAAATTAAAATCTAATGTTTTGAAGAATCCTAAACTAGGGAAAAAAGACTTATTAAAATAAAACCTGGCCAAACATATCCAAAATTGATTCTGAGCGACGGATTTTATATATAAAATAGCTAATATCCTATAAATATTTGCTTCATGATAAGCGGCCACTTAATTTTAAAGGAAAAGTAATTGTTTTGTTTTGTAAATTTGAGGAAAATAAAGTGGAGAGGTTAATGGTTGTATAGTGATGATTGATGAAGATACAACAGGGTATTATATTTATTTAACTGATTTAGTTGCAGTTGAAAAACTAAACAAATTTATTTAAGTTGAAGAGATATGTTGTGTCATTCAGTGGCCTTGCCCTTACGTCTGCTGCTACTGCCGGTTTCTAAGAGGTAACAAACCATGGAATCAACATCATCCCCAAATATGCTGTAAGCTTCAATCGCTTGGATGTATGTGAATCCCATCGACAGTAAAATTTGCATCCCACTGCTCAGATCACAACCATGCTCTTTCCCATCTTCTGTCTTCCGCCCAGTGCCTGATGATCCTGCTCCTCTCATTAACACACTAAGTAACTTTTATATAAAATATTTCAAACTATAAAAACTATTTCAAACTTGTATACAAAACTCACTTGCTCCAGATGACGATGGTTCAGCGTTTGAGGTAGACGATTCTCTGTCACCCAGCTGTTGCTTAAATGTACTACTATCTGAAAGGTATTCCGCTCGAGAAACTTCTATCACCATTCGTTCAATTTCCTTTTCTGTCAGCTCAAGATCAGAGTAAAACCGACCCTCAGCTAAAAGTGCCTGTTGAAAGCAACGAGATAAAAATTATTGTTGCAAGAGTTAAGAAAAAATTCGCCATTCTCACCATTTCAATTTGAAATACTTACGTTATTGATCTGTTCGTCCTGTTGAGATTTAATAGCATCTTTGACTTGATCTTTGTCGACATTTGTCTGAGTATCATCATGAAACACATATGGACATCACTTATTAGCAAACAATTTGTTAATGTCACAATTTGCATAGTTCTGAGTCCTTAAATTATTATGTATAAGGTTTTATATAATTGTTTATTATAGAATACAATATTAAGTTTAATTATCCAGTTGATGTCGGGTAAAATCATAACACAGTAGAAGAATGACAGAAATAATAGTCAATGGTACTTACCCCACGAAGACTGCTGAACCCAAGACCAGCACCAATTGCCAAGCGCCGTGGGTCAACAAGGGAATTGTAATGGTTTCCATGATGATAACTCAATCGAATTGGTGGTGTGTCAGTGTTGTAACTTCCATGAAAGATATTGATAGGTTCTGCATAGTGATTGATGTTATTATAAACTGGTTACATAAACAATCATACATAGATTCTGCATAATGATTGATGTTATTATAAATTGATTATATAAACCATCAGACATCAAAGTTTCAGAAACTCACCTACGCTGTATGAGTATATGTGAATCGGTCGATTATACATTTCACACATGGCTTGAATCTCAACATTGTTTCCATAAACCTGTAAAAAAATGAACACAAAATAGCTTTAAACACATCCAAAAGACCTATATTCCCAATGGAGAATAATGCACCCGATTTTTTTCCAAGAAATTCATATACAAATGTTCTATAATGGATAAGCTCCCTATGTAGGAATAAGAGCACAAAAATACTTGCCGTTAATCTCATAAACTGAACACCAAAGCATGGTTAGTTAGAGTCCACAAGGGCACTAATCCTATTAAGGTCGGAGCACATACACAAATTCATTTAATTATGAGAATATCATCTGAGAAGAGCCATATGTAAATATTGATGCTCACTTCCTTTAAAAGTAAAATCCACATCAACATGAATAAAAATGCAGGCATGAAAAAAGAAAAAAAAAGAAGAAAGCTTGTGATTATATTAAGTTTGCATGAAATATACAAGGGAATAAAGAAATGAAGTTTCTTGAACAACTGTCAATCAGAAAAACTAGTCTCAACACATTTAAGTCCCGGATTGAATTATTTATGACACAGAAAACAGTCTCAACACGCAAGTACTTGATTGGATTACTTATAATGGAACTTACCGGTTCCAACTTCAAAATAACTCATTTGAAACACTGATGTTAGAGACACACCAAAACCTAGGAGACATAATAGACATTTCTATCACATTTCTAGATTTTCTCTTTTGTGTTGGTAATCTATGCCACCACAAATTAGGCTAACCAGAATTCAAGCCGCGATTCACCTAACTCATTGCCCCATGTCATTCAAGGATTGTTTCCATTATGCCAACACACGATATTTCACAACATTTGGGTAAAGACAACACTCGATTATTTTACACATTAATGAAAGGGGGTTTCAATCTCTTAAAACTAAATCATCACATCATTGTAGACACAAAGAGTTAAGAAAGAAGATTCTAAACCATCAATCAAATAGATAGTTCTCAAGCGAATATAGAACATAAAAAGGTAAAAGGGTCGAGAGCTTGAGACAAGTGAACAACCAGCACAAAGATTAACAAGTGTTAAATCATTTCAGCCACCCATTACATTAGTATTGTGGCTATGGATTGTCCTGGATCTCTCAAATTCAGGGAACTTGTGCATTCTTTCCGTTCATCACATTACAATATTTTTAGTATATAAATTGTAAACTGTAGTTTGCCAAAAATAATTTTAGAAAAAAACCTAACCAGACTGCCACACAATCAATAGCAAATGAAAAGGGAGAGAAATAAAGCAATTATATCCTAACAAAAAGACCTAAAATCCCAATAATAACTTCAAGTTTTCCCTTAGAAACAAAATGCATGTCAACTGTACTGTCACGTACCTTATCTCTTCTTTTTCTCTTGCAATAAGATGTGAACCCTTCAGTTATAAACTGAGAAAAGTGATCTCTCTCTTGCTCCTGAAGATAAAACCACAAATATACTTATTCCTCTGAAGTTCAATAAAACTCCACCAATATACGTGCATGAGAAAAATCTATGAAGTATGCACATACAAAAATGTGCCAGCATTCAGTTGAATGTACATACTTAAAACAATTTATCAATTGAATTAGGCATATTTATGAAAATTCAAACAACAAAAAATTTCTAACCAACTAAAAGCAACAAAACAGGACATAAAATTGTTCAAATATACATGTATTAACCACTGACAAATAAAAAAAATCAAATAAATAAAGTTACAAGACTTTCCTGGATCCCTAAGGGCACCACCAACCACAATGGTAAAACATTCCATAAAAAATTGTGAGCTTAGGGTCCATATTACTTTTTCCTACACCCAAAAAAAATGTAGTGTTCTAAAAAGACATGATTAGACCATTGCTAAATGTATTAATTAAATATGATTAATTCTTTATGAGATAAAAAAGCTAAAATGAACTAAATCCTTTGGTTGATTTGTTGATTAAAATCACTAAAAGCCATTAAAATTAGATCAACTTCTTATCATATAATTAGAAACATATTATACGGACCAAAAGCACATTCAGTGTCAATATTTGTCACAAATAAAAATTAATACAACATTATCATACCATATAATCTATACACATTTGTCTGACCAAATCATACACTTCGGAATCCCCATACACCTGATCTGCAACCGCTCGGAAAAGACAATTTCCATCTTCCATCATTTTTTTTACTTCATAACCTTTTGCTCTTCTGATATCAATTTCAAACTGCCGCTCTCTTTCCTGGAATAAATGTCAATGGCAGTTCAATTTATTAATACATACCTCGACTTGAAAAACTTAACAAAGTATCAAGACACAGCCCAGCACGGAATTGTTCGATAGATGATGAATGATTAATATTGACAAGAGCTCCATACAAATTAAACAGATCCGGAACCATTATCTAACTTAATGAACTAATAGCATATCTACAGTCTAACTTAATGAACTAATAGCATATCTATAGTCTAAACAGATACGGTGTTGTCAAATATGCCATTATGTTATTCTAATTAATATTATCCATAACAAGCAAGAAATGTTAAAGGTATAATTCAAGCTTAATCATAATTATTCTCTTATAAAAAAGGAATTGGCTAAATTATCAATATCATTCCTTCTTCTTATAATCAACTCGCACACTATGGTCTAAAGAAAATCACATACCAATACTCATAGCTACACTGAAATCTAGTAAAAAGGATTCATCAACTTACAAAATCATCATAAGACGAAACCAGACAAGGCTTCTGTTCATCAGCACTATTGTACCCCTCACTCTCGTTATGTGACCGGGGAGAAGACGGCCTAGACCCAGCAGGTGAAGTCCTGGCCGGAACAACCGGCCATGCAGATGTTCTCCTCGACGATCCCACACTACCTGAAATCAAACTCCCGGCCACACTCCTCCTTGCATTCAAATTCCCTGCCAAAGAAGGCTTGGGAGGCGGCACCGGAGGAGGCGGGGGACACGAAGCACCGCCAACAGGTAAGGAAGAAGAATCCCCACTCGCACCCTCACTCACTGCAACATTCCTTTCACCAATTCTCAATCCACCTAATCCCTTCACAAACTCTTCCCTTATATCACTCTCAACAACAGTTGTAGGCACACCATCATCACAAGACCCGTCAGCCTGCTCAAAATGAATACTCTCCTCACTCTTCCCCTTATCATCACTCTCCAAAACGTCATCTCCAACAACCACCTCATCAGTAATGTCCGGCGAGACCAAAACCTGCGCCTCTGCACGCGCCGAGGGATTGGTAGACGACCCACCGCTCCGGTTTGCGTTAGAAGAAGAACCACCGCCGGAAGAACCCCTCTGAACCAACACACGAGTCATTGTAATTGGCAACGCAACACAAACCCTAATCTTGGATTTTCAGAGGGTTTGGATCATTAGTTTGTCACGTGTTCTGGCCTTGGGCGCAGTGATACCAATCCCTTGAAAGAAAGAGTCGTTGCAGCAGCAGTGGTCCTCGCAAAGCGATCTCTGCATTCCCCTAACAATTCTCATCAGACCCAACCCTCCAACTTTAAAGAAGAAAACCTTTCTTTTTTTGTTAAGAAGACGAATTTTACCAAGATTTTCCGCCGCCGAAAAATCAAAACCCTTCGCGACCCCAACCTGCACGCATCGAAACCAAAAACAATTGGCGTGTCGATCCAAGGAACGAAAGAAAAGAAAGGGGAAAATGTAATTGCAATTGTAGTTATTAGGATGAGGAATACGTTGATTATGTGAAAATTGAGAAAAAGAAAGAAAGGGAATAATGCGAGATGGAGTGGTTGAGTGACTGACCTGAAAAGAAGGATTGATTAGGGTTTTTGAAAGAGAAGAATAGAGAAAGGAGAAAAGTGTGGAAAGGTTTTAACGGTGAAGGAACGGTGAGTTTCAACACCAACGTCCTCTTCCTCACCACCTTACACCTGGCCACCCACCCACACTTCATCCCACGTGCCACTTTCACTTCCTTTGTCTTTTCTCATCCCAACTTACCTCACCCTACCTCTATGTAAATTCTTTTCTTCTTCCCTAAGATAAATAATATCATCAATTACTTTTTTTTATTTTAATATATTTTCAAATTATTTTTACTATTCTTTTATTTGTTAGTTCATTAATTTATTTAGATATTTAAGTGGTAATTTGTGTCTATATATATTTAAAGGTTTTTATTCAATTATTTTCTTATATTTTAGAATTTATTTGATTTTTTTTTCTCCATCTTTCACCACTTTTCTTCACCTTGATATACTTAGACTACAAAAACCCTTATTCAAATATTTTTTATGTATCTTTATGCAATTATTTTGAAATGCATCAATGAGATACATTTATATTTTTTTGAGTTGTTTCAAATTATAAATTAACTTTATAACCAATACAATTTTCAATTGTCGGAACTTAAACAATTTGTTTAACTTTATATTCGTTACCCTTATTCAAATATTTTTTATGTATCTTTATGCAATTATTTTGAAATGCATCAATGAGATACATTTATATTTTTTTGAGTTGTTTCAAATTATAAATTAACTTTATAACCAATACAATTTTCAATTGTCGGAACTTAAACAATTTGTTTAACTTTATATTCGTTCTAATATATTTATTGGGTAAGCTAGTATCATTGAGTACATCCTAGTTTAACTTTATATTCGTTCTAATATATCATTTCTAATATATTTGTTGGATAAGTTCGTACCTATTGAGTACATCATAATCCTATACATCTATCATAAACATTAAGTAAATATGATATTAGATTACAATCCTCAAACATTCAAAATTCAACATTTTCAATATAGTAAATTGGTAAACCAACCATCTACCTTTAAACATCGCTTTTCCCTCTCTTCCTCTCTTGTCTACAATTTTTTTCCTTTTTTCTTTTCCTTCCTCTTATAAGTTTCTATGATTCATGGGTTATTGTTTAAATCATGGGTTATAGTTGAATGTGTCTCTTGACAATGTGAGTTATTTCATATTTGAAGATATTTGAAGATATTTGAAGAAGCTTTTATGATATGTAGGAAGATGAAGATGAAGATGAAGTGAGGTATGATGGTTCCTTGAAGTCAATAGAAAAATATGGTGGGAGGTGAAAGAAGTGGAAAAAGGTAAAGAAAAAAAAACAAAGAAAATTCAAAGGGAAAAGATAACAGCATAAATTTAACAGAAAGATCATTAATATTTTTTTAAGTAAAGATTCAACTAAGTCAAAAATTAATATTATAAAATCTTAAATATAGAAACTAAACTTTATTTATTTTATCTGTTTTAAAAAATATAATTTACTTATATGTTCAGAATTTGTTTTTAGTCTATTACAAGCTGTAACTTCGTCTCCAAACCCCAGTGGTGTACTTTTCTTTTTTAAAATATATTAGTAACTCCTTTTAATAGAAAAAAATATCATACATGCGACACCTTTACCATAAAACCTAGAAATAAAAAAGGTCAGAATCAAAATTACCACATATACTAAAATTAATTTTGATCATAATAAGGCATTATACGTAATTACATTATTCATTTAAAATAATATACACGCTACTCAATTGAATTGCACATATAAAATCGTTCTATTATCTTAATTTAAAATATTCTCATTACTAGGTCATATCAACATTAAACAAGAATCAATAATAAGAGCTTAAAAAAAATTCTAAGAAATGCCATACATGTAAAAGTAGCAACATAATCTAATTGCCTTGATTTTAAAATTAATTATTGAAATTTAAATATTATTATGAAGTAGTTGTTGGGAAGAACTCACTCCCACTTGCTCCACATTGCACCACAATAAAAATAAAGTAAAAGATTTGGTTCTCTTCCTTTTACTGCTCAATGTCCGGGAAAGTTTTGATAACGACATCATGTTCGTACACACGAAAATTCAATTATGGATTACCATGATACATTGTTTCTCTTATCATAGCCTTTAAGTTTAGGTGCTAACACAACATATATCTGGAATTGGTGTGGTTCAATGGGGCTTGAAAATGGAAAAGGAAAGTCATATCTCATCTCGGTACGTCAACCAATTACCAGAATTTTAGTCTAACCAACGCTGTTAAAACTCCCCTCTAAAGGTTTCAAAAGCACATAAGGCCAGTCCGTCTCAATTTACCAATAATTTAGGTCATTTGCATGAACCTGGTGTTTAATTCAAACATAATCACATTAAATGCTATGAACAACTTGGTGTTTTCAAGCTAGTTTAGTAACATTATATAATTAAGTAATTTCCCATTTTATAGTGAACCAAACCTCACATTATAGATTATCTTGCCTGAATAACACATTGGCGACTTTTCTTTGCCAAAGATAACACCGATTAAAATAAAGAGAACGGGTAGAAGGACTTTTTTAAATGCAATTCTTATTTGCCTCATTCTTTAAAATGGAAAAAGATGTTTACTTTACATGACACATTCAAAATTGGTATGGTGATAATGATTACATGCATACCATCTGTATTTCCTATTCATGGTATGAATAAAATATTATGTATCAACAATATCGTCCAATCAAACAAAATGGTTACCCCCATTAGACAAAAATAATTCCGCAAAAAGTATATTGCCTATTTCCAATTGCATTTCTATACCTTCAATTTCCACCCTCGGGCACCAAGCGCTTCATGAACTTTTTTGGCGGCATCAGCGGTATCGGAAAGGGGTGGATAACTCCAACTTTCTGATATCTGAAATTTAAGTAAAACATATATCCATTACCAAATAAACACCTTTGACAATAAGAGTGATTCCAGACATGAAATCTTTCCACAATAATCTTCAACCCTTGTGTTTGATACAAAAATCACTATTATAACTTACATCCTCGGAACCTGTAAAAGGACGAACAACTCCCATCTCTCTCAAAGATTTGTGAAATTCATTGAACTTCCATCTGCATCGCTCAACGCCCATAACATAAACAGGCTTCCTGGGGATAGAACAAAATAATTAGGTAACATTAAATACTTTCACCAAGAGCAATTAAATAGAAACATTATTCTAATAATAGAAATACTAATACATGCATACCCAGTGCTGCAAGCTTCACTTATCATGCTAACTGAATCTGCAGTGACAACAAATGAGTCTGCCCAAGCTAAATGGCCCATGTGCAGGTCAGGTCCTGAAAGTTGTCACTGTCTAAGTTTATCTGTTGAACCAAATTTTAAATGTTGGAATCGAAACTGGGACATATATTTACCTTGCCAATCACAGATATAAACTTTTGGGTTATTCCCAAGTTCTTTTACTATGATATTGGACACCTGTTTAAACACCAAAGAGAGAAATAGTATGAAGAGACGGACAAGTTGGTGGTGTTATTATCCTAAGAAGCTACGAGGAATGAAGGACTTTACCTTCTGTGGTGTCCTCTCCGAAAAGGATATCCTAACACTGCCACAACTAGCTAGAACACTGAGCAAAGAAACTGCTAACTGCTTGGCAAGGTCTACACCATAACGACAGTTCCCTAAATCAATTGTGGACATCAGTCAATACCCCCAAATTTTTAGCCACAGAACATCCTTCCTCTCTAGGTCTTAATGACATTTCAAATAATCAAATTCACAATAGAAATTACTTGTTGGTCCTCCTACGTTGACCACAAGCAAGGGCCTCGGAACATTTGAAAACTCGTCATGCCAAGTAGCAGCAGCACTACGTATTGAACTGAAATCTACTTGATGTAACGCCCCCATAGTAAGAACCTGAGCATACAATTCCACATAAGAGTCCTCATTCAGAAATTGACAGTAACCAACATCAAAGTAAAAAGCTATTTATTGTCTAACATACGTACAATATGCATACCACATGACTATCTGGAGGATCACGCGGAGTTATCCAACTCCGAAGAAACCGAGGAATCTTTTTTTGTCCTTCTGGAGTTAAAGGATAATAATCATGCTTGGGTGTAATTACCATGTCAAAGCGATTCAAAATCGATCTTGGATGTTGTATCTGGTCATGAAACAAATACAATCAGACAGACCAAGATAAGAAATCAGAGCAGATGCTTTTACATCTTACACAGTAATGAAGGCAAAAACACCAAAATGGTGCAATTTTGACTTCAAAATTACCAAAATGGTGCAATTTTAAAATCGTGCCAACTTAGTATGACTTCATTTTGAAGAAGTCATGCCAACTTGGTACATTTCAGTTTGTTGTAATTTTTTTTACTTCTAATTAAAGTCGTGCCAACTTGATACGACTTCAGTGTGTTGTGATATAAATTGTAGTCGTGGCAGTGTATTTTGATGATATAAACTAAAGTCGTGTTAGTTTGGTATTATTTTAATTTGTTGCAATTATTTTTTTAATTTTAATTGAAGTCATATCAAATTAGCATGACTTCTTTAAAACAAAGAAGTACCAAGCTGACACAACTTCAAAACTACACCATTTTGGTAATTTTGAAGTCAAAATTGCACCATTTTGGGGCTTTTGCCAAAAATGAACACCAAAGCAATATACAAGAATGATAAATAACATTACAGCATAGGCAACGAAATTTTAACAAGATGATAGACACTAACATATATATACAAAGGCCCCATTTTGGAAACAACAACCAGATTTTAAATTGTTAACTACACCGGATAATGTAATCATACAGGTGTGGTTATAGAAATCATCACTTTAAAATTACATACTACATCGACAAACATCAACCTTCAATGACAGAATGCTCCCACAAACAAGACCACAACTATAATTTAAAATCTTGAATGTGATACATAAGAAAAGTAAAGAAAATAAAGTAGACTGAATAAGAGTTCATAAGGGAAATAAATCACAGAACTAAGTTTTTTGGATTTGTGGCAGGATCCTGCCAAAATTGTAAACCAAGATCGTTTCAAAGATTGAAATTTGACATGAAAAATTTCCATTGATTACTCCCAGTGTTTTGGATTGCATTCACAATTC